TTTTCTGCTTTTAAAGTAATGTCTTCACGTCTTGGGCTTTATTTTGGATATCATTCTTGCCCTGAAATTCTTTTTGAATCACTTTCAATTTATTGCTAAAATATATCATTATTATATGCTATTAGGTGGATCATAAGTCTCTCAAGAGTAATGGAAATTTTTACAATTTTTTCAGGGGTGATACATACAACTGAATATTACTCAAACCACCATTTTCCAGTAGTAATGAAAACATGATGCTTTAGTAAATCTATTGTAACCCCTCTCCGCCTTTAACCAGAATACTTCTGATGTCTTCCACATCTATTGAAATATCAGTTTGCTCACTGGTAATTTCAAAAGAAAGCCAGGTATTCAGATAGTTTCTCTTTCATAAAACTTATTAGAATTTGGTGTTATAGATTCCTTGAGTTTCTTTTCTCTATGTCTTTTTCTCCTGTTAGCTATTTTATCCATCACTGTATAATCTAGGCCTTTTCATAAAACAGACAAAATTACTATATAAAGCAAGCAATCTATTGTGCCTACATTAGTGATTTTCCCTGACATGGGAGCAAAAGCAGTGAAGAAAGTTGCAAATTTATCATTTAAAAAGTATTTTCTTATGGGATACCAGATATAAATTGCCTTTAAAGCTTCATAAATTCAATAAATGTCATGTTGCAGAACCTAATTACATAAATGAACTCTAGAGATAACGTGATTATATCATATTTCATCATGTAAATTCTCCCCTCTGAAATTTTGCAAGTTAAATAATATGGAAATATATATAAGCATAGAGGGCTATTTTTTTCGGAGACTAAGACCTGCTCATTCAGCAGTCCAAAGACAATCAGAAAATCAGAAATCAGTAAATTATCTAAAGAAATTAAGACAGAGTTAAATGTAGGATTTTGACCCATTACCCATACTGGCATCCCATTTGTTTCTTGAATAAGAAAGAGAATTCAGCCAACAGAGACAGGTAGGTAGAAAGATATAGATACCAGCTAAGTCCCCAAGTGGGCTGTTATATAGTCATGAATGTGGAACATCTGTAGTAACTTGAATAACCATTATTATTACAAACTTGGTATAAATACTCACTCTTGCTAAATTAATAAATTAAACGTTTTTCTGTTGGGGGTAATTAGAATTATGTCATCTAGCCATCAATAAATATAACGCTATATACAAATATCTCTTTCCCTGTTATTAGTTTTAAATGCAGAATACACTGGCTATGTTGGAGATGCATGGTTTATATGAAAGAGTTTGACTCATCATAACAAAGAAGCTGTGGTCCTGCTGTCTTTTCTATAATGAATCTTTCTATTTAGGAAAGACTTCTTAGTTAAATAGAAATCACTAGGGTAAAGCTCCCTGAAACAGGTTATCTCCATCCTTGGAGGTTTTCACACCTTGGCTAGAGAAAACACAGACTGACTTTACCTAGCACTAGCAATAATTTCAAGTGAGAGGCTGGTCTGAAAAACCACCAGGACTCTCTTCAGACTAACATTTCTGCACCTCCCCAACTGACCTGCCTGATATTCTCACCTGGACAGGACTGTTTTGTACTGACAGGGAGAATACAAACCAAAGTGTTCTATGTATTATTTAGTGGAACTGAAGACCTTAGTTTTCAGAAGTGTCAGTGTAGAATCTTTGAATAACTTCATTTTAACTGTCAATATTTACTGTGAAGAACTGTGAACCTTCCAGAGAGATTTTAAAATGTTTGTATAACAAAGACAGGAGCAAAGAGAACAATTGAGACACTTTCCATATCCAACCTAATCGTAGAGCATGTTAGAAGTCTGGGCAAGCAGTTTTTTAGAGAAAAGAATACTGACCAATCTGGATGCATGGAGGAGGCAGGCAAGGAAGAGAGGAGCTGGACATGTCCAAAAGATCTAGGACAGCAGTTGCCTCAGCATCTTGCTGCTATGCAATAAGCACAGCATGTGTGCTGATGCGCTATCTACCCAAGCACCAAGATCATCAGGTTAATCATTGCAAACATGTTTTTATCACTTGTATATGAAAGACTAGTAGTTGCCAATAACAAAACAGCTGTTTGTTTTCTTGTGGGGTTTTGGTTTTTGGTTTTGTTTTTGTTTTTGTGTGTGTGTGTGTTTTTGTTTTTGTTTTTTGGGTGTTTTTTTTTTGTTTTTTTTTTTTAAAAAAAAAAAGCCTATCTATGGGTATCAAGTTTTCATTGCAATGTCAAGAGTGTGATTCTGTGCTGTGAGAAAAAAATACCCCCTTACATTTAGCAACTTAACAGAGTTCCATGTCCCTCATCTTCATTATTTTTTTATGAGTTTAATAGATACGTTCTCCAACAATTGTTCAGAAGCAGGAACTGCTCATCAGGTGTTTGAACTGTATCTGTTTAGTTTATGTAGCAAGTCTGTGCCAACTAGCTGTAACTGACTCTTGAAAGCAGCTGCTGAAGAGACTATTCAGCAGAAGGTCCATGGGTCAGAGCTCTGATGGCAGCAAAGATGTAAATAGTACAGGAAGATGTGTTACCCATTTAGTAGGAGACACTGCTGCCTCAGACTAATAAAACCCTGATCTAGAACATACTGGAATCAACTATGTTGCTGAAGGCATGATCTCTTAGAGAAAACTAGGGTCAAATGTGGGATATAAGGTGATACAAACTGAAGTATCTCATAATCACTTACATTTCCTTGCTGAATCCGTGTGTCAATATAAAGTGATCTAACACAGAGATGGTATAAGACTATTTAGACCAGCAGTAAGGGTGTCAATGTTTAATGAAGACTTAGGATGCTTTGAGAAAAAACAGTAAATCTTATGCATTTCCAGGATGGTTTTATCCATCTTAACTAATGAATATTAAACATTCTTTTTTAAATAAACTAAAAATAAATTAGAATGAATGTACAATTTAGTTGGACACACTTAGAACTTTCTTTACAATGCTAACAGCACTGAAAATTATTTGCATTTGTCATAAGAATTGCTATTTTTGTAAGAACAATTATAGAAATTATTTATAAAATAAAAATGTGTAGAGTAGAAACACATTTTTTAAAAAATCCTACAATGTATGTGTACCAAAAATCTATACAAAACATGCCTTGATATTTTCCCTTTCCTTTCCCACAAGAACAGATTAACATGAAACTTCTAAATGTATTTTAACAAATATACAGTGTGTATTCCAGGTTGCTCTGGGCAAAATTACAAGAAGAATATTTGGAGGAGCTTTTTGTTTTTTCTTCTCCCTTGTCAAGAAGTTAGAAGTTAAAGAGGTAATAATTGAGCATATTTTCAAATTAATTACTCATATTTCATCCTTAATTATTACCTTTTATAATGCTTCCAATTTTTAAACATTAAATAATTCTTATTAGCAAAACCAAAAATCCTTTCACACTTTTCTATTTCTATTTTCTGTCATATGCTCCCCCCTTCATAATCTGAAACTTACCTGCTCCCCCGCATGCCTGTCACCACAGCGATTTCTATGCTGCTTTGTCTGTAACCCTTTCTGATGCCCTGTCACTTGTGGTTATCCTCCTCACCACCTTGTCTATGGGGTCCCTGACCCTGAATCCATATTTAGACTCAATCATAGCACAGTTTTGATTTCATGAATATTTTAAAATAATTTAAACATCTGTTCTAAAGGCAGCAGAAAACAGTTTTCTCCAAATGTGACTAAAGTAGTTGCAAACAAAAGAAGAGGAAAACGTGCTTTCCTGGTGCAGACAAGTGTACGTATGTACGTAAGTGAATTGTCACTTTGATCTATTTTATAATATATTGGGATTTTCATCAGCTTCAACACATTAAAAAAGAAAATTCTCAACAGGCCTGCATAGTCATTCTTTTTTTTAAGTGATAGAGTAATTCTCTCCCTTCACCTTCTCATCAATCTTAACTTTCAACTCACACATGCATCTTAAAGACACTGGCCAACAAATTATAGTTAGATTATACAGAGCTTAGTTTGTAATTTCTTATTGATTTTACTCGGTTCAGATTTGACTAGTAATGCAAAAACTATAATAGGAAGTCACAGTTTGACTTAAGCAGAAACTAAGAATTAGTTATAAAGTTTACATTCTTTCTTGCTTTAAAAAAACCCACCCTATTATGGAAAGTTTGAAGGAATAGTTCTTGAATCATTTCTGCATAATGCAAACAATCTGTTTTACTTATAATTATGTCATATCTATATTTGCAACATCAATAGATGCACAACAATCTTATATTTTATTAAAAAAAAATTGTTACAATGTTTGTATATATTTTCAAAACTTTTGTTGTCTTGTAGATCTTCATTGTCCAGTATCTAAAGTAATCTAACAGATTCCAAGGAAAATAAATAAATACCCTACAAGATGTTATTCTCCTCTACACAAAACAAAATGTTTTTCTAGGACACAACCAAATTAAACTTACTTATGTTAAATAAAGGTAAATAACGTTCTGGACTTTAAAAAGAAATTACCTACTGTTTTTTTCAAGGGAACTTTATAGTCCCAGTATTAAGGTCTATGTACCTTCTTGGATATGGCTGGAAGCATTTATATATTTGCACTTTTAGTATCTATAGAAATAGTTTTATTCCATCACATTTAATATGAATTACCTGGACTACTATGGCTGACCGACAGGTATAGTCACAGGACACTTAAATATAAATTATACCAATTTTAGGTAAGTTTAGATCAGATTCCACATTTTCCCAATGTGATTTGTTTTTTTCCCAGGGAAGAAAAGCTTATCATTTTACATTGTACATAAATTCCATTGTCCTTTCCAGGTTCCCTGACTTCTTGAAAAGTTATGCTCCTCCCTCTGCACAACCAGAAGTTCCACTGAGCCACTGTCGGGGAAGGCAGCTGGTCTGCCGATAAACCAATTGAAGAAGATTTTGACCTTGACAGGATTCCGGTGTACCCTTGAGATAAGGAAGCTATGCTTAAAGCAAATAACTTTCAAGGAGCTGCTGACTACATTGCAGGATGAAGCAAGCAGGGAGGAAACTGATAAAGGTTATCCAATGAGAATGTTAAAAACAACTTTTTGCCCAATTATATTGTAACACTCTGGCACCTGAAATATATAAAAATGCATGCTTTTAGTAATAAAAACTACTAGACCCTTGCTCAGCCATGTGACTGTGTGTGTGTGTCACTTTTTCCATCTCTACAGCGACAAGCCACATGTGATTTCATGGATGGCAGAACATTGATTTCACATTACTCTAAAATTTCAGCTGTGGGAAGCAGAAGATTCCAAATTGGCATACCTTCAAATGTCATCAAATTGTTGGTTTAAAACAATAGCATTTAGTAACACTTGTAATTAAAAGATTCAGCAGCATCCCAGGTAGAATTAGACACTGTATTATTGACAGGGCCAGCATGACTTCGAAGTGTTATCCAGATAGAAATACCAAGAGACTTAAAAATTCATCTGAAGTTCACAGAAGGCAAGGAAAAAACTCCCTGGGAAGATAAATATCCTATGCATCCTGCCATACATTGGATAGTCTGTAAAGAAGGAGGGAAGGGAATTTCCAGAATGTTAGAGAACATTCTATGTCAGAAAAATTGATTTGTATTCTTGTACTTTATTGGCAAAGAAGGATAAATAGGACCCAATATTTCTTGTCATCAGTTCATTCTTAATCCCATAGTTATTTCACAATTTCTTACACAGTGAGAGTGTGAACACAGAGGCTGTAACATGGCAAACATTTACTTTGGGTTGAGATGAAGAAACTATAAAGAAGTTCTGTGCACAGACAGCACTTCGTTTTCATCACACTCAAATATAGGTGAGTATCTCCTCAAGCCCAGAGGAGCACGGGGGCACAGGTGGGAGCCCAAATTAAAGACTCAGAGGAAGGGAATACTCTGTCTAGGCCCTTCCCAGGGCTGTTCCAGGAGAGCCATCATCACCATTCATGCACGAAACCCATCAAGAGGAGTCAATGAGACAGCACCTTTTGGAGTGAGGGTGGTTGCTGCCTAGGGGTATGGACCACAGTGTGGGGTGCAAGAAAATACTTGGGGATTGCACAAGATTTATGGTTTGGTTACAGCTTGAAACAAAGACAGGGAAGAGGAGAGATGTAGGTGATTTGAGGAGAAACAAGCATGGGAAAATAGAGGTGTAAGTGGATGAGAAAGGTCCTGCTATGTGTAAATAGTTTGCTGATCAATACACTTGTCTGGCCATACAATCTGCCCTATAATCTTACTAAATTTGTTTGTAATTCTTTTTCCAGTGTGAGACATTATTCTGTGTGCATGTGTGTGTATAAAGGTGTGAGTGCAGCAAGTGGAGTCAGGCCACAGATCAGATAGCCTGGGTGCCCAGGTGCCAGTTACTGCATTTCAGTGACAGAAACTGCAGTGGGGCCTCAGGTCATAAGGATGCTTGTGTTCATGGAGCCACCAAGTGGAGCAAGTGCAGGGGTGAGTGAGTATGAGCGCTCATGAAGCTCAAACCAGACTAGCTGCTGAGTAGGTGTCATGGCCTGGCAGCCAGGGGTGTGAACCATGGGAGGATCTGGAGAGGTCAGTGAGACCAGGGGCTTCCTGGCTAGCTCTGTGTGTGTGTGTGTGTGTGTGTGTGTGTGTGTATCAGCAATTGTAGGACTGCAGCCTCAGAGTTCATATGTCTGTGTGCCAGCAACTGAGAAGACTGGGGTCCAGGTGCCAGCTACTGGGCAGAGTGTCTGAGCCCAGTTACCGGAGCAGTCCTCCTTATATATATATATCTCATTATTTTTAATATTTATTTTTTCTCACCACTGGACCAGCCAGACTGGGGAGCAGGATGTGGCCATTGGTGCTGTCAGTGCTTGTTTGCGTGCTCTGTGTGTCTGCCTGTGTTTTCCGTGTAACCAGAATATGTGTGCATGCACGGTGTATAGGTGCGCTCTGTGTGAGAGAGGCTACTGGTAACACATACTCAACCTTTCTACAGGCTGGACCTGTGTACACAGAGCTTCAGCATTCTCACCTCTCTCGTTGGGTCTGCTGGATTCAGCGCACCTAACAGATATCATCACCCAGACTGACTCAGAAGTAGGGAAGGACTGACGGTAAGTGAATTTCTTTCATGCATGTGTTCAGCTTTTCGCACCTCTCTTGTGGAATCTGGATTGTGGCAGGCTAATTGCACTTTTTGATAAATTTTACCATCCTGCCATTTTCTATTCTGCTTTCAGGCCATCTGTCATGGAGTTGCCCTTTAGTTAAATTCTCTGAAAAACTTGATGTCCTTTCATTTAACTCTGTAATATCAAACCAGATCTAAAAAGGTCATCCAGAGTTAAGTAGCAATATAATTAATTTGTGTTAGTATATTCAACAGAATTATGACATATTGAATCTCACTCCTCTTTTATACTCTGTCATCTCCCCAACAGCAAAAGCTTAGCTTTTAGTAATTGTTATTTACAGCTTCTGTTCCAGCATATTAGAATAATATCACAAAATTCTGAATCATTTCTACCACAGCATGGACCAACTATTTTGTCACATATCACAGCAAAAAAGCAGGCAGTATTCCTTTCATCCCATCCTGCAAAAAATTCTAACCTTTCTTTAATCCCAACCTGAGAGACAGGAATGAACTGGCAAAATAAAAACTATAATGGATGCCAGTTGACCCACTGTAGCTGAATGCATGCAGTTATAGGAACCATTAGGTAAGTTCGGTTAGCTTGTTTTGTCTTAGTCACAGTACATCACTGATTAGAGTTTGAGAACATGCACACAGCCAGTTTTCAAGGCTTAGCTGATACGTAGTACGGTTTCAGTTCCTGGTAACTCCTTCAAATACCCCAGCTGACAGTCACAGTTTAGGTGTCCAGTTAGATGCAAAAGAAATGCTCTGTTCTCTTTCACACAAAACTGCATCCTAGTCTAAGTAAAGGCCTTCACGTTTGTGATGCCATATAAAAATTTCATAAAATCTAACCTCATTACAATGAGATAATTGATCTGAAAACCACAATGGCTATTTGAAAAGCTTCTTGAGTTTCAGCAGTTGTACTCCATGACAAAGGCAAGGACAAATTAAAAGATAAATAAAAAATTTATTTTCTCCATCCTGCCCATATAAAGATTTTCAGAACAAACAACAATATCCTGTTTTTCCCCATCAGTATCACTGCTGATCACAAATCCTTGTCCTGAGGTTGACAGTTATTTCACAAGTTCCTGTAAGGTCATGCCTAAGGGAGGAAAGACACAGGGGATGGACAGGCTATCACAGGGGAGGGGGATGTGGAAGGGACCGAGCTGCACATGGAAAGATATTTTTCATACTAGTGATCAACTGTATTAATCCTTTTTCCCTTTCCCTATTCTTTGACAAAAAAGCCCCAAAACAAGCAGTCCATTCGACCCAGATGACAATGACTACAAGTTACCTATGGAGAAATAAAATCTTGTAGGTGCATGGTGCTAGCCAATCAGCTGTACTGTTGCTGACTGTTACGAAAGTTAAGGTAAATGTAGTTATTAGGCAGAATTGAGTCATTTAGCATCTTCAGACTTAATCAGTAATGCTAAACTGCCAGGAAGAGAGGGAAAGAATGTTATTGTGACATTGGTCCACCTAAATTGATAGGCTAAGGCCAAAAATATGAGTTTCACTAAGGCCAAATGCCGGGGGCTGCCCTTGGGCCACAACAACCCCCAGCAGCGCTACAGGCTTGGGGAGGAGTGGCTGGAGAGCTGCCAGTCAGAGAGGGGTATTGATTGACAGCCAGCTGAACAGGAGCCAGCAGTGTGCCCAGGGGGCCAAGAAGGCCAATGGCATCCTGGCTTGTGTCAGCAATAGCGTGGCCAGCAGGGACAGGGAAGGGATCTGACCCCTGTACTCGGCACTGGTGAGGCCGCCCCTCGATTCCTGTGTTCAGTTTTGGGCCCCTCACTCCAAAAAGGACATTTAATGACTCGAGCGTGTCCAGAGAAGGGCAACGGAGCTGGTGCAGGGTCTGGAGCACAGGTAGTACGGGGAGCAGCTGAGGGAACTGGGGTGTTTAGTCTGGAGAAGAGGAGGCTGAGGGGAGACCTCATCGCCCTCTACAGCTCCCTGAAAGGAGGGTGCAGAGAGCTGGGGATGAGTCTCTTTAACCAAGTAACAAGTGATAGGACAAGAGGGAATGGCCTCAAGTTATGCCAGGGAAGGTTTATACTAGATATTAGGAACCATTTCTTTTCAGAATGGGTTGTTAGGTGTTGGACTGGGCTGCCCAGGGATGTGATGGTGTCCCCATCCCTGGAGGGGTTTAAGAGTTGGGTTGACATAGCGCTGAGGGATCTGGTGTAGTTGGGAACTGTCAGTGTTAGGTTAATGGTTGTACTGGATGATCTTCATGCTCTTTTCCAACCTAGATGATTCTGTGCCTCCGTAAATTACTTTCTGTTTGTAAATATTCCAGTGCCACTGGCTCTGGTGACTGTATTCTTTGTGAGGACTTTGGAACAGTTACAGCATTAAAGTGTAACATAGTAAACAAGAAAAAAACAAAGAAAGAGAAAAAAAATACAGCCTCATGGCTGTGTGGCTGTGTTGTGGAATTTTCTGTGAAGGCACACAATGTCTTGCAAGTGATATATGGCACATTGATGGCAAGTATTCCACGCTATCTTCAGAGATTTGCTAAATTATAGAGATTTGAAGGTACTTCTAGAAATCACTTAGTCCAACATAAGTGCTCAAAGCAGGGTCAACTACAGCAGGTTGCTCAGGACCTTGACAAGTTCCATTTTGAATATATCTAAGGATGAAGACTCCACAGTTTCTCTGAGCAACCTGTTGCAGTGGCTGACTACCCTCATGGGAAAAAGAATTTTTATGTTTAATTGGAATTACTGCTATTTCAATTTGTCCCCAGTGCCTCTCGTCCTGTCATTCAACACCAGGGAGGAGAGTCTGACTCCACCTTCTTTACTGCCCTGCATCAGGTCTTTATACACTTTGCTATGATCCTCCTGAGCCTTCTCTTCTTCTGTCTGGACAGTCTCATCTCTCTCAGGGTCTCGTCATATGTCAATTGTTCTAGTCTCTTTATCATCCTTGCAGATCTTTGCTGGACTCTGTCAGT